GATGTGTGTACGCCAAATTTATGAATAATGATTGTGTTATCATATGCTTATATGTGGATGACATGCTTATTTTTGGTACTTGTGATGATATAGTGTTCAAAACTAAATCTTTTCTTACTTCTAAGTTTGATATGAAAGACATGGGTGAGGCAAGTGTAATCTTGGGAGTTAAAGTTGTAAGGAAGGGTGATAGTATTTTACTATCCCAAGGGCATTATGTTGAAAGACTTCTTAAGAATTTTGATTATTATGACTGTAAGTCTGTGACTACCCCTTACGATGTTAACACTCAACTAAAACAAAATAAAGGAGATTTTCTTGCTCAATCTCGATATGCCCAAATTATAAGGAGCTTATTGCATTTAATGAACTTTTCCAGACCCGACATTGCATATGCAGTAAGTAGACTGAGTAGATATACCCATAGGCCCAATCAAGAACATTGGGAAGCACTTGCTAGACTCATGAGATACTTGAGAGGTACCATGGATTATGGTATGGATTTCCCGCTATACTAGAAGGGTACAGTGATGCTAATTGGATCTCTGATTTAGATGAGACAAAATCCACTAGTGACTATGTGTTTTGTGACACCCTATACCCCACATACATAATTATACAACAAATAGAGATAAATAAAAAAACCTTCACAAATAAAATCCGTCTCTAACCACATAAGGGTAAAGAGTTCACATTCATAAAACATAAATCTTAGTCTGATGTGGAAATTACAAAAGAATAAAATTAAGGTCCTCTAATCAATTTAACAAAAGTAACATTCTAAGTTAATCCTAACTAAGCCCCGATGTCACATGTCCTATCAGAGCACACCACACACTAAAACTTAAACCTCATCACCAACATCTTCATGTTGGTAATCACCTGCAACACAATAAAAATATGCAAGAGAAACAAGGGAGTGAGAAACATCTCACTCTGGTTCAGATGTAGAAATAAATGTTAGGCACACACATACATTCATAACAAATACCGCACTGGTTACACATAACCAAGCACAACTCTCAAGTTATAAATACATTAGAATAGATGCACATTCACTTATCATACAATAATTTCATGGACTCGACTCATAAATGCATGCATGTGGCGCCATACGGAAGTTACATATTTCTCATCACTGGTATGCTGCTACAGCAACATACCTGGGGGCACATTCATTTAGAATACAACACTGGTGACCAAAGGTACACCTAGAATACTCAATACATCTCTGGCGTGCGGCCTAAGCGGCACACCTGGAATAGATCATTTCATCACTGGTGACCCAAGGTACACCTAGAATAGCTCAATACATCATTGGCATGCGGCCTAAGCAGCACACCTAGAGTCATATATGCACATGATGCATGTCACACATTCACTATTTCATTGACTCAACATTTTACTTATTACGTGTCATCATATCTCACGTCACATTATCTCATAATATATCATATCACAGATCATATGTTCACTTTTCACATTTTCACGTCATATTCACATAGTCTCGTACAAATAACTTTTTGTAGTCATATACATCAAAATAGCACATAAACCATACCAAGAAATTATCCAACATCATACCCATTCAATTCACAATTCATAATATATGAAGCATAAAGGCCATAGGTTCAATTTCATGATTTCACGCATTTTCTACAACCAACCAGTTAATATAATATTTTAATTCTTCAAAACACTTTAAATATTATTCAAAATATGAATCCATCATCAATTTTACATATAATTCCTCGAAATTCATGCAAAGATCATATCCCTAATTTCATTTCATAGGATTTCTCACAAGAACCCATAGAGCACTCTAATTTATATCAAAACTTGTCTATTTTTGAAATTAAACACATATTCACACATCACATTCAACAAGGAACGTAACAGAAAACTCATACATCAAAACAGAATATATTCATATTTTACTTGTTCCTAGAAGCATGCATCAGGCAAGGGATTGGGGGCCAATCCAACTACCCAACATATATTCTCACACCCCCGAGTTAGGTTTCTCACTCCCCACTTACCTGGATAAGCAGAAGATGAAGCTAGAGCAGAATCTGTTTAATCTTCTTCTCTTGGTTCTCTTTGGTCTTTAGAGAGCGTGTCAAGGAGCAGGGCCTGAGTATGCTATTTATAGACGTCAGAAGTGGCCAGAACGACCCTCTTCGAATCAAGAAAAGCCCGTTCTAGATTCATTCATTGTGTTAAATTTGCATCTAGAACGGCCCGTTCTTAAACCAGAACGACCTGTTCTAGAGTTGAGTTTTAACTCATAATGGCCATGTTTGGAACGGCTCGTTCCCAACTAGGGTTTTAGACCTTTTTGGTAGTTTGAAACACCCCGTTCCAGTTTAGGGAACGACCCATTCCATTTTGGGAACAGTTCGTTCCGTTTTGGGAACAACCAGTTCCAATCTAGGGTTTATATGCCTTTTTAGTAGTTTAGAACGACCCATTCTAGGCTACTAAATCACCTTTTTTGGGCTTTGAGCCTTCATATAATTTGTAAAAATCGGGGTGTTACATGTTTACACTTGGTGGTGGTGTAATTGCATGGAGATCAGTCAGTCAATCTATTATTGCTAGATCAACCATGGAGTCAGAGTTTGTAGCTCTAGAGATGACTGGTACTAAGGTTGATTGGTTGAGAAAGTTCTTGGTAAACATTCCTCTAGGAATGAAACCAACCCCATCAATATCAGTACATTATGACAGCCAATCGGCAATAGCCATAACTAAGAATAAATCTTACAATGGGAAGAATAGACATATACAATTGAGGCATAATATAGTAAAGCAACTGCTGAAGGATGGGACGATTTCCATCAATTATGTGAAGTCAAAAGGAAACTTGGCAGATCCTCTAACAAAACCCCTAGGAAGAAAAATGATTTATGAAACGTCAAGAGGAATGGGATTAAAGCCAATTGAAAACAAACAAGTGATGGTAACCTAACCTTTGTGATTGGAGATCCCATGAATAAGGTTCATATGGGTAAGAACAAGTCACTTGTTAGTTTTGCTAGCACTAAATTTCTTAAATCTTTGTCCTTTCCTAAAATATGAGAAAGTGTTAGAGCTGCATTACTGAAAGGGTAAGTTTTATTGTTAAGCTTTATGATGAGAAAGCTTGACACATTATAAAACTTTTAATGATTTTCATATCCCTTATGGGTGGTGTATGATTTGCAGCATGCACTTGATAAAATCACCTATATGAGTGTCAAGTGGGGCTGTTTGCGTGAGATCTTGGCGAGATCTCTAGAGCACTCAAGAATATCGGGCACGTGCATGGCCTAGTGGCGCAAAACAACGATAACGACAAGAATTGTGAGGGTGTAATATGATTGATAAAGCCACTAATATACATCAAGTGTTTTGGTTCACATAGCTTGCTACATGAATCTCACTATATGTTAAGTATTATTAATCTAGGTCTGGTTCATATAGCTTGCTACACTAGGTCTAACATATTACAGCCAATATGAGAACTCAATTTCTTTTTCTTTATCTCTCATTCTAATGTAATCAAAATATAGTATTTTTTCTTTTGAAATATGTGGGGGTTGTTGGGCATACATATGCATAATATTTCAAAAGAACAAGTCCCACATTGCTTGAACAATTCAAGTGTTAAGCCTTTATGTATCAAAGTGCTCCTAACACTTCCAAAGGGGCAAGCAAAGGGTGGTGGGCTCGCGCATGAGAATGGGTCTTGTGAGCCCATTGTAGTTCAAATCTGTCAATTTGCCCCCCTTGCGCGTGCAAAAATGGGATTCGAAAATATTTTTATTTTTTATTACATTAAATTGTTTTAATTAATTAAGGCAAACCTTATCCGAAAATGACTGTTTTTCATGTTTGAAATTAAGAGTTGATTCGGCCCTTAAAAATCGCATCTGACGTTACAGGATCTATTATTTTATTCTTTAAACGATCATATTCGGATTAATTTTATCCCTTAATTTTTAGATGGTTTACGTGGATTTATGAGCTTTCGAAACTTTATAAATAGAGGCCTTGGGTACACTGTTTTACCATTCGAAAAAACTTTTCTCTCCTCATTCTCTAAGTTCTCATTTTATCACTTGTCGGTTCTACTCCTCAAAACCTTGAGACGACCCTGTTGTATCTTGGGAGGCTTATGTGTATCTCGCAGATAAATCCTTAAAGTCAATACCATCACTCGTCTAAGGGAGATTTAACTAACGTGTTTGTTTAGTGTTTTAGGTTACTCATTGATGCGTCCGCCATATTTAATGCTAACAATATATATAGAGTGTGTTAGGAGTATGAAGTTAAAATTGGTACTATAGTATCATATTGAACTCATATTTATTAAAATTTGCAAGAAAATACCTTGTTTCTAACCCATTTTCATTAAACAGACTTGTTTGTGATTTTTTTATATTAATAATATTGAATAAAATTGTCACTGCCTAGTTTATATACTATATATGTCAATAATAAATTAAAGAAAAAAAAGTTTTAAAGAACATGGGATTATTAGGGTTTTCTATAAACAACAATTTCGTACAAAAGCAGGAATATTTTTCTCAGTGACGAAACATCAATAAAAGAATTTAGGAATACTAAATTAATTTTTTTACATATAAATTAAATTTTTTATTAATTAAAAAAATAACAAAAATTTTTATTTTTTCTACTCAAAATAAACATGCATGATAATAAAATAAAATAAAAATATTATCATTCACTGGTCATTTCATAAAATAATCATAAAATAAATAAATATAATATTTGCTTCTCCTTGTCCCTTAAAAGGTCGGCTACTGATTTTTCTGTTTCCTGGAAACAAGTCACGGTTAACAATACAACTTTTTTTCTTTTGTCTTATTGCTTTCATTTGAGAGGCCACAATTCGTCAATGATCTTTAGTACGAAGCAGCATAGCTCGTTCCTTCCATTATTACTTTCTCTCTTTTTATAAATAGAACTCATTGCCGACACTTAATTAGCACATAGTGAACTATTACACCTTCTTCAACAGTTCATCAAAACCTAAACCTCTCTTTCCTCAAACAACACTTTCTCTTTCCACCATGGCTCTAAACAATTCATCATCACTCATAGAACTCCCCACTAACCTCTCCCACGACCACGAATGGGTCATAAACATTAGCCGTTCCCTCGAAGAAACCTTGCTTGAAAACAACAACGATGATGATGAACTCACTCTAGCCACAATATTCAACGTGCCCAATTCCTTAAGATCCTCGAAACCCGTGTCATACACGCCACAAATGGTGTCTATTGGCCCCTACCACCACCGAAGGCTCGAAGTCGTTGAAATGGAACAACACAAACTAGCCGCAGCCAGGTGGGTCCAAAAAGTGTTGAAAAATAAACACAATAAACCAATGGGTTTCCATGAACTCGTGGCTCGTGTTGCAGAACACGACATTCGTATACGAAGTTGTTACCACCGCTACTTGGATTTTGATCGAGAAAAGCTTGCATGGATGTTCACCATCGATGTGAGTTTCTTGTATCAATATCTAAGAACGTGTCCTAGTAAAACGAAATTACCCTCGTTGGAGAACATGGGTTACCTCATGGAATGGGCGAGGAAAAAGATTTGGCACAACGCGGTTCTTAGAGACATCATCATGATGGAAAACCAGGTTCCTTTGTTTTTGCTTAAAGAAATTCATGGTTTTTTGTGTGAAGAAGAAGACGACAACAATAGTGACAAATTATTAGCGTCCATGTTGATGGGTTTGTGCAAACGCCTTGCACCTATCAAGCACTTAAACGACAAATGTTTTGAAGAAGAGTGTTTCACGAGGACCCATTTGCTCGAGCTTTTGTATTACACCGTTGCACCCAATTGGACAACGTTTCCAATAGAGGGTAATTCTAAGAACCAAGAGAATAATAATAATAATCATAATCATAATAATAATAATGCAAAGCAGGTGGATGAAAATAAAATGTATGGTTGCATGGGATTGATATTTAATTTCCTATGGTGTGTCACCTGTGCACCCGTACACATTCTTGTTAAAATTTTCAAATCAAATATCATTCTTGGATTGATCAAAGTGCCGGTGAAAATCGTTGCTTACTTTCTAGAACTTCGTGATAAAAGTGGTGCTGTAAAGAAATTCGTTTCTTCCATGCATGACGTGGTTGAGGAAGCAGAGAAAAGTTCAGGTTAGTACAAATTAAATACAGTTAGTATTCTTAATTTATTTTTGACATTTTTTAATTTTTAATTGATAATAAAATAAGAAATGAAATCGTGCTACTTTCGTTTTTTCATTTGTTATATTTGAAGGAAAAAAATATTTATAGTTTTTAGTCAATTTAAAATAAAAGGAAAAAATAATTAGTCTTCTCTAGGTTATATATTTTTGCTAGAATTGAGATAAATAATATTTTATAAAATATAATAAAAAAATAATAAATGAGAGAATTAACAGAAATTACTAAAGAGTAAATTACAAATAAGTTAGTAGAATTAAATGATTTTTTTTCTTAATCCATATAATCTTAAATGACTAACATAAAAAAAATTAATTTATAATTTTAATCCTTTACCTTATATTATAGATTCATTTTGATATTTTATGTTAAAATTTTCATTTTAATCCTTTAAATATTATACTTTGGATTGATTTGGTCCTTTTCAAAATTAAATCATTTTTAATTTTTGTGAAATGATTTAAATCAATTTTTATTAATTCAATATGTGAAACTTATAACAATAGATTCACTTATATCAAAATTATGAAATTCAATTATTATTTCAATAAAAAAAGTTATAAACATAGTGAGAATTGACCTAAAATATACCTCATAAGAAACAATAAAATTATATTTTTGAATTTTTCAATTATTTTTTGGACTTGTGTTTATGGAATTTTTATCATGTTTACTAAAAATTATTGAATTCAATAATTTTCATATAAATGAATCTAATGAGATAAGTTTAAAACATCAATAAGTTAAAAATAAATTTAAGATTGTGTCTCAAAATTATAAATAACCATTTTTTAAAATGATTATATCAACCCAAATTTAGGAGATAAAATGTCAAAATAAATATTTTGAAAAGATAAAAGATCAAAGTGAATTTTATAAATAAAATAAATAGAAAAAGTATAATTTAGAAAAAGAAACACAAAGAGGAAAAACGTCATAATTTTCCTATTTAAAACTTGAGAATTAATATTTATACAAATTTATGTATGTTTTGCCAATGTAGATTAATCTTTACTTATTGGTTTTGGAACACTATGTGAAAAATGTTTATGGATAAAAAAAAATAAAAATCAATAATAAATTAATAGTGTAGAAAACTATATTTTAATTAAATTCAACATGATTGTGTTAGGGACGAATTCATGGCTATAGGAGTGGAGATAGTTGCCCCCACTAAAATTTTACTCTTTTTTCAATTATATATATATATATTATTATTTTCTTTTTATAACATACACACACACATACACACACACACATATATATATATATATATAAATATATATTTTAATTTATGGCCAAAAATATTGTTAAATAATGACACACGTACATGTTATAAAGATATAATATATGTTACTAAAAATTATTTTTACATATACTATAGATACAATATATGTTGATATATCGTTAAAAAGTATAAATATATAGACTATAGTGACACATTTTGTATATGACTATATGTAGCATTTCTTGTAATATTTGTTTTTTATATCTCCTTCAAATTTTTTATTATATCTAATATGTTAAAATATATGAATATTTTATTCTATTGTGTAATTTCTTTCACTTTATGATAAAATTGTCTTTATTTTTCTAATATTATAATATACTTTATTTTTTGACTAAAAGGTTTATTACTTTTTTATTCATTAAAGATATCATAATTTAGTTTACAAATATAGGATATATTTCAATTTTCATTTTAAATATTTTTAACCCTCTTAATCTTGTATATGTACATTGTGTTTTGGTAGGAGAGGATCTAAATTAAGAGGAATTAGAGTAATTACCACACAAAGTTTTTTTTTTTTTATAACTTAAACATATTTAATAAAAAAATAAATATACTCTTATAAAAAAAAATAGGCATTGTTCTCATAAAATATTTTTGTTTTAAATAACTAGAAATTTAGAAGAGATACAAAAGAAAACAAATAGTAATTATATTATTTTTATCTTAATAATTTATACTATTTTGTTCCTCTAATATTGAATAAGTTAATAAAAATAATAAAGTCATACTTAAATATAATATCAAACCAAAAAAAGAAAAAAGAGAAATTGTCACTCTTTTTTTATAAGAAAAATTTAATTTATAAAAAATAGGTATAATGATTATTTATCTCAAAAACATATTTTTCTCTAAAAAATTTATTATACTTTTAAATAAAAAAGTTTTATAAAATATTTTATTAACCCTAATTAACAAATTTTCTAGAAGTGAAATAAAAATAAGTCAAATAATCTATTAAAGATATATAGTTTGGATTGTTTAATGTTTGACCCGTTTAATAAAAATATCATTTTTTAAATGTCTTTTTAATTAAAAAGACCATGCTTCAAGTTTTTTTTTTAAAATACTTTATAGTTCAATCTATTTAAAATATAAAATAATATTATATATTACATAATATTAATTTGTAATTAATAATTATATTTATTATGTATAATTCTTTTTAATAATATATTTAATATTGAGGCTTACAAATCCATTGGCCTACTTCCGTATAAAATGACCACCTAAATTAAGTCAAACTTTTAAATAGATTAACTTTTAAAAAAAAAAATTATAGTAAATAAATAAGTCAATCTTAGACTAAACTTAGACTTATCAAAACCTAACCTATCTTCACTTATCTTATCAAAGCCTAATCTATCTCCACTTATTTCCATCCCCTAATTGTATAGTAGGACGTAGATATAATGAACTAAAAATTAATTATGTGTGTAGTTTCTGCCTTATGTAAAAATTCTACAAACCATAATAACGTAATAGAAAAAAATATATATAAGAGAAATTCGTTTACTTATGAAAAAGTCTATTTAGAATAATTTTATATTTTATATCAAATTTTAATAATTCAATTATTAAATGTAAAATTTTTTAATGTATAAATTAAGTTAATAAATTTAAAAAAAAATTAATATTTTATTTTATTAATTTAAATTAATAAATAATTATAAAATTATTTTATTATACATAAATTTATTGTAAATGAATCCTTCTTCTATATAATTATGAATAATATTATAAAAAATGTTGTATGAAAGTGTGATCTGAAAAATACATATAGTTCTAATGTAGAAAACTTTGTTCAGATCATGCAGAGGGCAGTGACGAAAGTCCGTTAGTGGAAGAACTAGCAATCCCAAGCGTGGAAGAGCTTTCAAAAACCGGCGTCGTATTTCGGCCCACCAAGGGCGGCATAAACGCCGTCAGGTTTGACAAATCCTCCGCAACGCTCCACCTGCCCGTGATCCACGTGACCGACAGCAGCGACGTGGTTTTGCGGAACCTGGTGGCGTACGAGGCGTGCATCGCGCCGGAGGGAATGATTCTGGCACGGTACACGGAGCTGATGAACGGCATAATCGACACGGAAGAGGACGTGAAGATTCTGAGGGAAAGCGGAGTGTTACTGAACCACCTGAAGAGCGACAAGGAGGTGGCGTCGTTGTGGAACGGAATGACAACGTCGGTGAAGGTCACCAAGGTTCCCATCGTCGACAAGGTCATCGAAGACGTTAATGCTTACTATTCCGCCAGCTGGAAGGTTAAGGTGAAGCACAGCATGAAGAAGTACGTGTACGCTTCCTGGCCATGTCTCACGTTTCTCGCTGCCAACATTCTTTTGTTCTTGTCGGTCGTCGAAACTGTTTGTACCATGTATGGCTGCTCCAAATTGGTGCGTGTCTAGTTATTAGTTAATCACTATTCATTATGTTGGTCCCAAGAATAGTCATGATTCAAAATAATGATTATTTTTTCTCCGATCATATACTTACATAAAATAAATAGAAATAGTTGTTAGTGAAAATATTACATTAAACACATTTGATACATTATAACCATCTTAATTTATTACTTTCAGATATGTTGTTAATAATTTAAAGGATTAAAATAAGATTTTAAAAATTACTTAAAAATAATAGTTTTAAATCTAAAAGACTAAAAATGAATTTATCATAAATTGGAAATATTAAAAATATATTTAAACTTTTATTATATTTCATACTTTTTTTTCTATTTTCTATCTTATTTTTTCCTAGTGCTAAATTTTATCTTACAATTTATTATACTTTTAAGAAATTTAGCATTCAATTAAAAGTGGTATAACAAACTTTTTTGCTATGCTTGGTTGTAGATAAAAAATAGATTATATACCGTTCAGCAGTCTATTATCTAACTTATATCACGTATTAGGCTCATAATAGGCCAGGCAATTTTAAAAAACAAACATGCCAATACTTTTATCAAAAAGTTATTTAATTAAAGGGTCTTAGATTATTAAAAGTATTTTAGACCTAATTAAGAAGACAACTTATTTAAACAATTACAACTTATTTCATGCTTTGAGACAAACATATGTTTACCTCGTTAAATATCAAGTATGTTTACGTACATGCCTATAAACTTATGGTAGGAAGTAAGATAAATTTATACTTTATTTAGAACATCTTTAATGGAGGTTGCTTAAGATATATCTTAGAGATAAGCAACGATACTTATAAAATATTGTTATTAGACTGATCTAACGTGACAAGGAAAGTAAATTTTTTTGGAGATAATTATTTAAAAATAGGGTTTCTTCTCAATAGATTATTATTTAATTAATTTATTTAGAGATAAGCCAGTCTTATATAATTTTTTAATAAGAAATAAACTTTTAAACAAGCTGGTTAACATGCCAAGTCAGGTTGATATTAATTAAGAATGTTGCTATTTTTTATTTTATTTTTATGAAAACGATATATAAGTATTAAACGAATCAGATAGTTATTTGTCAAAAAAGATAAGTGTTGATTTGAATAACTATGTAAATAAAAGGCTTAATGCGTATTTAATCTCTTAAATTTGGACAAGTTTGTTCAGTCATGCAAATTTAAGAAAAAAATTATTTTCTTGAAAAAATAAATATAACTGTTTTAGTTTCTTAGACAACTGCAACATCAATGACAGATAAATTGAGTCATTAGTAGTGTAGCAGATTCATTAATAGTGTTAGGGAAAATTGACTGAAAATATATATTTATATTTTAAGCACAAATAAAAATTAGCTACTTAGTCTTTGTAGCAATTGGTGCAATTACTTTTTAACATTATCTAGCATTTCATTTTAATTAATTATCATATGAATTGAGTTGGAGTGTTTTGAAAAAAGATTATATATATATATATATATAAGAGGTCTTCGAAATAACAATTTTTTATTATTTTAGAAAAATATTTTACCCTTTGACAAGACTTTCATGATATAATCAAAGTACAAAACAGATTCAAAATGATTATTTCTAACAATCTTAAATTATTGTAATATATTTAAGAAAAGTTTCAAAATAAACTTATGATTATTATCATTTAAAAATATTTAACTTTAATTAAATAATAATATATGTTAAAGTACATTAAAAATATGTAAATATGTATTTAAAATAACTTGTTGCAGATAAAAACTAATATATGTTAAAGGGATTATTCAACGGTCTTATTGCCACTAATAAAATAATTATTTTTAATAAAGTTCGCATATTTAATTAATTCAATTTAATGTAACATGAAAAAATTAGTTAATTAATTTGTCACGGAGGAAAACATTCGATTAATTTAATTAAATATTTTTTCAAAATATTTTATTTACCAATATATGAATAAATTGATAGATGTCATGAAACAAACGTGTATAAGGTGAATCACCCATGCATGGCATTACAACCCCATGACAACCCCTATATTTTTGGAAGAGTTCTACCACGTGAAATAGACTAATAAATGGACTTTCAAATTTTTACGCGCGCCGTCTACCAATCTTAAATAATGTGAGGAATTTTGGTAGGAATAATTAAGTGTAAGATAATTATATGTCTCCTGTGAAGAACTAATAAATAAATAGTTAAATAATTAGAGATTAAATCATAAATGAATTTAATAGATTAATTTTGAGAATAATAGTTATTTGATGGGAATAATGAACTTTAGGAATTATAAATATCTACTAATGTGAAACAAAGTTCACACCCCGATAAAAAGTATTATTTCAAATCTTATAGTTATTATGAAAGATAGATAAAGTAGAAAAAAAAGTCAAAGGGAGTGAAATTTTGGTTCTCTTCTCAAAAAGACCAAAATACTCTATAGATCAAAAGAGATTTCTATTATGGAGAAAAATCAAAGTACTCTATAGATCAAAAAAGATTTCCATTATGGAAAAAGGTACATACTATTTCTTATTATTTTGTGAATCATGAATTTCAAAGATCCTTTTAATTTTCTATAATTGATGTATTAGAAAATCATAAAACTTTCATTAAGTACATAAAGAGAATCTAATTTAAAAGACTAGTTTATTAGGTGAGAGTGTCTTAAAATTTAAGTATAACATTGAACTTCATTTTTTATTCAATATGAAACTCCTAAGACTTAAGACTAATATTGTCATTCTCTTTAAGGATGGATATCTATAACCACTTTCATTCTAATGATATTGACTTGGTGATAGATTTTTAATTTTTGACAGTTTCACATACCTATCAGTATTTAATTTGCATCTTAACTCAGCCTATAGTTAACCTTTTTTATAGCTCAACACTCAACGAAAGCACCACTTGTTAGAAGTTAAACACATCAAAAATGTCCAACTCAAAAGATTAGTTTATTTGATTTCAAAATTTAAGTACTACAATTGAAGTATATTTTCTACTCAATGTAAGCTTATAAACAAATTACTGTACATAACAAGTTCTATAATGGTATGAAAATCTTGACACTGATTTCTCTTAAAAATAAAATTAAAATAAACAACTAAAAAACAAAAGAAATGTTACCTTACCTAGCCTAACATGATATGTGTTGGATTTGAGAAATTATTATGTAGCTCGGGATTATAAAATACCTATGATTTCAACTAATTACTATGTGACATGTATTTAAGTTTTTTAATTTATGAGAAAAAATAATTATACTTGATTAAATACTTTGTAGAAATTAATATCATTTATATTTTTGGTGCTAGCAAAAAATATAATAATATTTCACAAACAAAAATTATTTATTTATTTAATATAATTAAATTCTCTAATTTAATAATCAAATATTAAAATAATTTATAATAGATATTAGAACACTCGTTTGTATGTGACCCGTAGATTTAATACTAAGTTGGTAATATATTAAGAAAATTAATATATTAATTAAGGTAGATATTTAACAATACTCCTTAACACCCAGATAACATGAAGTAATATTTTATTTTTAAGAACCAATAGAAGAATAATAGAAATAATTTTCTTCTATCATATAGCTTAGCTTACCTTTAGAGTATGATTTTTTTTTTGTCAAACTCTATTAAGTTAACATATTCTTAAGAAACCCATTTCTTTTTTTATTTAATATTCTTGGCTAGGATATAATTTTATTCTAGAGCCAAACTCATTACCTAGAGTTGATAAATTTTTTCTTGATCAATCATTAATTCTACAAGCATTTAATTATATCTAATTTTTATTCAACTAGTACCTTAAGGTATTAGGTGTCCAAAATTAAGATATAATAAACAACTTATTAATTACTATGATAATCTCATATCAAAGAAAACTATTTAATTTCTCCTTGAGAATTTTCTATTGACAATCTAAGACAATATGAATCATTAAAAATTCTCGATTGAGTCAGTTCAAATGATCATATTCACTTATGCATCATCTATATATGTAATTAATAAATGAGATATATTAAACTTTATCTAATAATAACATTTACATATATATTGGTTTATCCAAATCATTGTTATCCTATTTACAACAATCATATTACTAAAAACAATTTATATTAAAATAATAAAAGACCTTATTTTTTTATTATAATAATCTCTATCATGATAACATGATAACATGTATATAATTTTAATCAAAAACTTTATTAAATAAGATAAATTCATTACATGATAAATTGGATCTTGGACAAAGTCTATTATTCTCCAACATTTGTTTCTTGCCTGTGCTTTTTATGAGAGAATGTGAGAAGTAGATTATTTATAAAACAAAATCATAATTTACTAATTTTATCCTTCTTACTTAACATTAAATTTTCGTGCAAAAAGTGAAGATATTACCCATATCAAAGCTTATACATCAATACCAAAAAAATGATAAATATCAATTGAAGAAAGTTTAAGAAACAAGAAAAAACACATTTTCATTCTCATACTCTTTGATAAGGACAAACAAAAAAAATAATTTAATACTTTCTAGAAATTATAAGATGCCTTATAAAAAAAATTCAAACTATTCCTCATAATAAATATCAGAAGAAGTAATTAGTATTTCTCCGACTAAAAGTCTCAATGGGTCATTTACAGCAGCTTGGATTGCATTAAAAAGCATCAAAGCTACGCCCATTCAGGTATTGATGGATAAATGCCTTTTCCCCCACCCCTCTTATTTTTTATAAAGAAACAAAAAGGCTTTATTCAAGTATCCAACCTCAAGGTCTCATAAAAAAAATTTGAGATGCTAAAACAGAATGATCTAATATTATAGATCATGAACACATCATAGCATTCCATCCTAAACTACAAAATCGCAGTAAAGCTCCTATCCGTTGCCAGGACAATTAAATAGTGGGAAGGAAACAAGTTGACAATTATTCATCCTTGTCCAGTAAAAAAGTTAAAATTAAGCACCAAATTGTCTTCCCACCTGCAGCAATTGGAAATTCCTGTTACCAAAATGGCAAAATGCTAAATTCTCTGCAGGATATCTAGCCATTGGAAC